ATATGTAAAATTTAGCATAGAACACATTATCTAAATGATAAAACTGTTATTTTAAAACCCTCTGAATATGCCTGAAATGGTAAATCAGCAAAATTTAAACCCAGTGAAAATTAGTCATTTTACAGTATTGTCTTAAAATAGGATGCGAATCTAATTCAGTGCCCATCAGTTGAAGTGTTCTTTCTAAGACTATATTAATATTAGTGCCTATTTAAGCTTGTAAAAACCTTTCTGTGCAATGAGAAACATTCATGCATGACTATTAAGATAATGAGAGATATTGTTGTTGATTGGCAGTAATATCTCCAGTGTTGTAATTAAAATAAACTGCCATTCATATTTTTCTTGTTGTTACACATGCATTTTTCACTTGAAAATGTAATTCTCTTAATTTCTTTAAGTAAAAACAACAAATTTTTGACAAACTTAGAGGTATACATTGTCGCATAAAGCACCTTCAAGCGTTGTCATGTTCTATTTGTTTTAATGTGATTTTCATTCATTTCAGTGAGTGCATATAAGCAAAATACATTTACTAAATTTAAAGATTAAGACAAATATTATATGATATTCAAGACATGATTATTTATCGACTGCACGACTTATTATTGAAATTATGGTAAAACTCTTGTTGAAATGTGAGAATCACCCAAAATATGAATTTGCGTTCAACATTGTGTGCTAATATTCATATTTAATAATATGTCACTTATTAGTGATAATGAATAATGGGTGATATTAAACTTTCGTGTCTGTATTGGTAGGCTCTTTTATGGCTTCTTGGTTATTATTCTTTTAACGAGTAATTTCATGTTTAATAACTGCACATTATTGTTTTTTTAATGGAAATTGGATGATTGCACGTTCTTTATTTTAGAAGACTTACTCCCCACCCTAGGCTAGATCTGAAGTCTGGTAGATACACGCTGTTTGTTTCAGAAGACTTCCTCCCCAATTCAGGCTAGGTCTACATTCAGGTAGATACAGGCTGTTTGTTTCAGAAGACTCCCTCCCCCACCTCAGGCTAGATCTGCAGTCTCTAATTTTGGTGAATATTTTTATCATTTTTGGTAAAAAGTGATATTTTCGACTTCTTGTTAAAAACCACAAGTCCGATTGCTTTGATATTACATATATAGGTACTACATGTGGACCTCTTTCAGATTTGTTCATTTTGTGATGATGTCTTCAATTCTCTAATTTTCGTAAATATTTTTGTAATTTTTGGTAAAAAGTGATATTTTTGACTTCTTGTTAAAAACCAATAGTTCAATTGCTTTGATATTACATATTTAGATACTACATGTAGACCTTTCTCAGATTTGTTCATTTCGTGATGATATCTTGGATTCTATAATTTTGGTGAATATTTTTGTCATATTTGGTAAAAAGTGATATTTTCGACTTCTTGTTAAAAACCAAAAGTTCAATTGCTTTGATATTACATATATAGATACTACATGTAGACCTTTCTCAGATTTGTTCATTTCGTGATGATATCTTTAGTTCTCTAATTTTGGTGAATATTTTTGTCATTTTTGGTAGAAAGTGATATTTTCGACTTCTTGTTAAAAACTGTAAAGTCCGATTGCTTTGATACTATACATATTGTTCATTTTCTGATGATGTCTTCAGTTCTTTAATTGAAATGTGCATTTCTAACAGCGGAGCTATCTCAGCCGATAGGCTGCTTATTATAATGTTATCATTATACATCATTTCTCTTCTTTTAGTAATAATTCAATAAAGAATAACAGCCAAATATGACAATAAAAAACGTGTTGCATGGTGCGAACGTTTGTGTCTAACGTAAATGAAAGAATGTGTTTAAATGTGAACCTTGAACACCTCAATGTTGGTGTTGTAGTTTACCCCATATAATAGGAAAATTTTAACATTCAATTATGTGACATTTTAAAACAAATGCAGATTTACCTTAGTAATCATTCAGGTTCTGAATTTTGACCTCTTCAGAATGAAGACTAAAGTACCGGGGTAATGCTTGGTAACTTCTAAGTTGGTTCATTAAGCATGTCAACTATCATTTGTTACTGTCATTATAACGTCCTAATATAATTGGTATTTGGTACTACAAAGTAGCTTTAATGAAACTGAGAGCTATGAACTTGAGTTGAAGGTTGCAGCAGGTACATACATTTTGTACCAGTCTTGTGAATGATGTATGTTGAAATTGTTTGTGCAACACTTGTTCTGTATGCCAACAGATGAGATTAATGATATCTGCAGTTTATTGTGCACACTTAGTGGATCTTCCATGTGATTTGTTGATGGCACATCTGGTTGTTTTCACCTGCATACCTCGCTTGTGATAGGTAGATGCCACATCTGGTTGTTTTCACCTGCATACCTCGCTTGTGATTGGTAGATGCCACATCTGGTTGTTTTCACCTGTCTATATAAAATTACCTCTCTTGTGATTGGTGGAAACCACATCTGGTTGTTTTCACCTGTCTATATATCTCTATTGTGATTGGTTGATGTCATATCTGGTTGTTTTCATCTGTCTACCTCTCTTGTGATTGGTAGATGCTACATCCGGTTGTTTTCACCTGTCTATATACCTCTCTTATGATTGGTGGATGCCACATCTACAAATATTGTTGGAGTGACTGTAAAAGTTGCTAGCTGAGAAAAACTTCATTGTCATAAATGCAAAGAAGGAAATCAATTTCATGCTTTTTAATTTTTCTTTTTCACTTCCAAACAGAAATATATTAGTCACTTTCTTGTAGCTTATTTCATATCCGTATTTCCAGCCTTCTGCGCATCATGTTAAGGGGGAGGGTCAATTTAATTTCAAATCCTCAATTTGATGCACTTGCTGTTTAGTGAAATAGGCTTTCTGAGATCACTTTAAGAAATGAGAAATGTCAGCTCTGAGGTTGATTCCCTCTTCTTCCGTATGATAAGATAAAAACAGATGATGATAAGGTAATAACATGCTCCACTGTGGTTTTCAATCACTTGTCTGCCTGAGTTCTGATATCTCGGTCCCAACATTGATCTGTTCTAAAACATGATTATAGGGAGAGATTGGAATCACTCGTTAAGGGCTTCACAGTCTCATTTGCAATGCACAGCAGGCTAGTAGTTATCCTGGCCAAATGTGCTCCAGCATGAAAGATTCAAATTTTCAAGAAATGAAATGTAAATTGGAAGTTTGTAAATTGATTGCATTTTAATCATCCTGTTTAATTGATCTTTTTACTTAAGAGTAATTTTGCCAGCCCTTCACACATTGATATTCTGTTTCCAGGCTATTTATGTACTATAAATTTACATAGCCTCACTTTGGGTTATGGGTCTCCCTAGGTGAATGATAAAGTGTACTTGTGTAAATATCATTGGACCTGCCGTTTTATTTTGAAAACATCATTCAGGGATGGAAGCAGGATTTTGGGGTGTGGGTTAGGGCTGTACATTTACAATGATGTCATTACCCAATTGCATTATGGGATGCATACATATGAGCGGCGATGGTTTTTGGAGATGCGTCCCAGGGATGCCTCTATCTTCTGCATTGTACATCAGCTACTTCCCCCCATACCATCAAGTGTCACTATGGGTCCTGTATGACTATCAAAAACGCATTGGTTTTTCACACATAATTCAAATATGGTCTTGCACAATTTGTTTTACAGTGACATTTTACCAACATACACACATTTTATATTATACTACTATCTATACTTATACCTACATTTAAAAAACAAACATAATACTGTAAAATACTTTATTTTGGCTAGAAATAATTTTTCGCTGAAAAGGCTTTTTTGGTGTTATGTATGGAATTTGTTTTCACTAATTTTTCACGAGTTGAATGTGAGGCGTAGGAAAAAATGTATATTCGCTGGATTTTATTTTCACTTCAAGCAGCCCTTCAGCGAAAATATCATATTCTACAGTACTTTGACCATTGACACAATTTTATTTTCACTCAATCATTCCTTTAGCAAAAATAAGTTCCAAGCGAAAATAAAGTATTTTACAGTAACTGATTTACAATTTATTAGTGATACCGCAAAAAATGTGATGCACCTGATTTTCACCGAAAATATCCTTAGTTGCCAAAACGAGTAGCACTTGCTCAATCTCTTTACAAAACTCCTGAACTTCTCAACTGATTTTACTACAGTTTAAAATTGAACATTGGAATTAAAGAAAATGTCCAAAGGGACAATACGGTATTGATAGGGTATGCAATATGGATGCCTTTAAGTACTGCTTGCACTGTTGGGAGTTGTTATGCGCTGATTATATACTTGTTCTCTGAGCGTGGAAAAAAATCAATCAGTAGCGGGATTGCCTCAATGTGTTCGCCTAGAAAATACATAATCTAACTTTGAATGAAAAGCCAGCACAAAGGAAACTTAAATTTATTTTAATGTACCGACTATGAGAGTTTAAGTGGCATTAATTACAGGTGTCCAAGTTAATTGTCATAACAGTGCCTGTTGTGAATCTACTTCAAATGAATATAATTTACAAGTTGACATGTACACCTGAAACTCACAAATTTTATATTCATGTTATAAAAAATATATATATTATATATATTACATAGAATCAAAGTTCTATAAGAATGAGGGTATGCTTCATTGTTTACATGTATGTTTGGTGATTTGGGAAAAGATCCTATGATCTTGTGAGTTCCATGCACTCATCAAACATATTTTAACCAGTGGCATTTCATTTGAAAGGATTTGATTGTGGTTTGATATCGCTGTATTTCAAAACGCAACACTTTGGAACAATACACACTTTGCAAAAAACACTATAAAAGCAGTTGAGAAGAACCCGAATAATTTTTCTCACAGACTCGCTCATTGGATGATTTTTTTTAGAAATGTATATTGGTGATAATGTGATTACCGGTATCTCTCAATTTGCATGACTTCAATTCTCACAAAATCTTCTTTGCATACCATTTTCATACCTGAATCAAAATTTTCTAATCTTCATCATATCTTTTTTTCCAGGCGCTGACATTCTGGGGAGCTATTCCAATTGCTTTTTTATTTCTTTCACTACTATTCTTCTTGGTGTATTTCTGCTGCTGGTGCTGCTGCTGCCGACACCCAAAACCCAAACGTAGAATACCTTGCTTGAAATGTTTTCTTCTACTATTTACTGTGCTTTGTCTGTAAGTATTAGCAATTTTTACAAATTTCTGAGTAATTTTGTAGCAATTAATTTTCCACTACAAATAAATGTGTGTTACTATTGCTTACACAAATCACAGTCCCTAGCTGTAGCCTGGAATCCAGCCATTCAGAGTGTTCTTTCCAGTTCACTCAAGAATCGCTGGTGAATCGCTTTGTAAATACGTAGACGACACAGAATTGTGTGTCACTACTGATTGGCTGCCTCTATGACTTCGGTACATAACCATGGAATCTTGCATGTGCAGACTGACCTGACGGCATCTAGTCTATCCTAGCCTCCTCCCACCCTCCCTTGTTGAGGATCTGTGCACAAATAGGTATTCAATAAAAAAAAAACATTCTTGTAAAAGCAGAGTGATGTTATGGGTAAAATCTAGATCGATTAGTACCTTCTATAATCATATAATACCAAATTGTATCTATAATAATTGTTTATTTAATCTCTATTCATCTTAAGAATGGAATGTTTATCTATTAATGATGTATTGTTGTGAAGCAATTAGCAATTTTGTGGTTTGTTTATGAATTGTTTTCCCATTGTAGTCATAATCAACATGAATTGTATCTGTTGTGGTACAGTGTTTGGAAAGTCTCCAAAACTGACAAGCCAATGAATGTCATACTGAGGGTTTTGAATTAAACCCACAAACAGGTGGTTAGACCCTGAGGGCAAAAAATGTCTGACGTGTGTGATCTTTGTGGTATGCATATAAATTATGTAGTAGATGTATACTCTGTAGTTCTAATTTTCTAACAGCTGATCGTTCTTTTTAAGCACTGTTTAAGAGCTGTGGGTGTCGAAAATAAACAGATCAGGAAAATCTGCCTGACAGTTTTCCTTCCAACATTGCGAGGAACATTTCCAGCGATGTTTTGACTTTGGCGCTGTCACTTCCAATTCGCAGTCATTTTTGAAATGGTATTAATTATGGATTTGAATTCAAAATGAAGTTACTGTGAGTGTTTACATTATGAACACAGTGAGTTATTTGATTACAAGCATACTATTTCATAACAAATTCAAGCGCCATCATCAAATACTGTAAAATACTTTATTTTCACTTGGAAGTAATTTTTGCTATTTTCACTGAAGGAATGATTCAGTGAAAATAAAATCCAGCGAATATACTTTTTTTTCCTATATTTTACATTCAACTCGTCAAAAATCAGTGAAAATAAATTCCATATGTAACACCAAAAAAGCGAAAATTAATTCCAGCTAAAATCAAGTATTTTACAATTTAGTGAGACTTTCTGTATGCTAATGAGGGATGTTGACTTCCAATGGTTAAAGGCAAAGTTGAAACAAACATCACTGAGAATGTTACAATGTTACAAGGAAATTGCTAAGATAGTGGGTTTCCTGATCAGTTATTTGGCCCTCACTGTCACTGTCAGTAATGAACAAATATAAGTACGTTGTACGTACATCATTGTCTTATCACGCTGCGAGAATAAAAGATGATTATAATTACCATATTAGTGCTTAGTAGATAGATAGAATTTTTTATTTGGAACGTACCAATGAAATCTTGAGTAAAGTCCAAAAATAACAATAACAAAACATTCAGAATAACTAAAACTTACAGTACTAAAACATATCAAGAATATAGAAATAAAATTTTGCAAAAATGCTAAGAATGAAAAAATCATTACTTGAAACAATAATAGGAAATAATTCATCCATGCTAAAATCTTCCAGCTTTGGGGCATAGATGTATAGAGCTGCAAGGAATTAGTGCTTAATATGTGAATGAGTGGTGTATAAACAGACAAAATTGTTAGCTGAAATGTCATAGCCCAGTATTTGATAAATACAATTTTTTGGTTAATGTGTGATTCTATGATGTGCTTCTAGTTCAGCAAATATGGTATACACTCACTGTAAATGTTATAATACTGTAATTGTCTGCATCCAACCGGGTATCTGCATGATGTATGGCGGCACTCGCAGAAACCCTGTGTACTATGCCGAATAGTTGAATATGTATATTATAATTTTAAAAAGATACCGCAAAGTATGCACTCAGACACTACATAGACCGACCTTTTCTACGTCTCTGTCAATGATCGCGCTGTCTGGTGCTCCCTTGGAGACGTCTTTATTTGTAACCTGTACTCCCCTGTATCAGACTTTGTCTGCATTTATGGAAGCAAACATACGAGACAAAATTCTTGTGTGTCACACCGCTAATCTAAGTGGATATACTTCAGTACAGGGAGTATCTGTGTCCAAGTTGTATGCAATACTTAAAATAAACGGGGTGTTTCTAGTAATCCAACCATGCCATACCGGTAGTTTGTGTGCGTCTATGCTCTATGGCTTAAACTTATGTCTAAACTGAAACATGGCTACTGGATTCACTTCCTGTTATGAGTTGCTTGTTTAACCAATTCTTCACATATTACGAAAATCAATCAATCTGATTAAAATATGATGTAGTGTACAAGCTAATATTTTTATTTTTTTCAATTAATATTGATACCAGTATACATTTTGTTTTAATTTTTAAATTATTGTTTGTTTATCATTTTACATGGTTTTAACATTTTATCATTTTGTACATCGGGTAAGAAAATGTTAAAACCATTTAGAAATGATAAAAATAATGTCAAAATTTAAACAAAATAAATAATATTGATAAAAAAAAATAAAATATTAGTCCATACATCAGATTTAAATCAGATTACAGAATGAATCAACAACATGCATATTGATTGTAATACATGTAGGCTGGAATCTGCCAGACAAGTTACTAAGGTCAAGTGCCTTTTTTCTTTCCAATGTTGTCAGAAAAAACTATTTTGCCTTCAGAAACAAAAAAACAAACAAACATACAAATCATGCTCAGTGGGACAGAGTGTTTTTGGAGGAAAACACTTTCGCTGATTTAGATGTTGTTAAACTTTAATGGAAACTGAAAGGTTGTCTATAAAATACAGCATTGCATATTTGGAGTCTAATTATGATGTAAATGCACTTACTTTGTCATTTCAAAATTCATAAAATTTGACTTCAATTTATGATGACATATCTATGAGTTCATGTCCCAGATTGTTAGATTAATAATAAAAATTGTAAAGCACTTGAATAAATGTTGATCAAAAGATAAGGATAACAATTAATATTCAGTGTAGTTGCTTGGAATTTTGTTGGGGAATGAATTGAAACTAGTTTGTGGGTTTGACAGTAATAACCTCTTAAGATAAATTAAGTGTTGTTTTCTAAGGATATTGAAGGTGTGTTAATAGCATTGTGAATGCCTAGTGCATATAAACCTGTTTATTTTGCTGTGAAAAGCGGTCCCCTATGGAGCTGAATTGCATGCTGAATTGTAAAATGTCTGAATGTTCCATTACATTGCCTTGATTTGATGTATTGCTTTTTATAATGGATGTTTTTAGTGTGTGATGGCATTTACGTGAATTGTCAAGGCTGTTATGTGTGGTGTACGCTTGGCACAAAATGTTAGATTTTACAATTTAAGGTAGTTCAAACTGAATACAGATTTAGAACTATTGAGCATGTTACTGCACATATATGCAATGCATTATGGGAGATATATTCTCATTGTATTTAATACAAAATAATCATTGCACTGTAAACTTTATTTAAATTAATATCAATAACGACTTTTTCATCCCATGCAAAATTTTGATATATTTTCACCTTAGAAACCAGTACAAAAAAAAATGTTGACACTTTGCACTCGAAAAAAGTCTTTGGTAATTATTTTATATAACCAGACTTTTTGGACATAGTATCCTTTCTCAATGAAAATTTTTCATGCAATTCATTTATAGTATATGCTCTATTATTCATTTCGTGGAGATGAAAACCTCCCTGCTGCAGATTTCGTCATTTTTTGTCTCGTGCAAAGTGGTTGATCGTATTTCCAGATTCTTATTCTGTAACAGCTATTCGACTTCCTGGCGCAGGAAGTGATAATTTCCATCAGTCATGGATTCCCTGAACCGACAGTCATACTAATACCTCTTGCTTCTGCCATCAAATGATGACATGTGCAGAATTATATAGATTTACACATGTCCTGCGGAGTGTTCTCCCCAGGAATTGAAACCACTGTGGTGGCCTAATTTGCATATAATTTGCATATCGTTTACATAATAATAGAAATTGACCAAAGCACATTTACACCCACACAATAAACAACATATATTTTTAAAAACAAAGTGGCAGATATTTATTTGGTTCACACAGTGTTATAAACAATTTTATTTTGTGCACTTTTGTAATATTAATGAGCTCCGTCACAGGGAAAAT